TATATATATATATATAGTTTTATCAATGATATTTAGTGTAATTTATCAGTTCAAATGCAATTAGATCCTGATTGTTTCTGTGCAAGAATAGTACTGATTTCAGAAAATAAAACATGAAATTAAGAATGACTATTTACTTTTTTGGTGCAGGTTCCAGAATTTATTGTTAAGGATTCATCAGCACACATAATTCCAAAGCAATGATTCAATCCAAATTTAATAACTTGTTCTTCATCTGAAATGTCTTCCAAAATTCTATGTAGGCAATGTTTAAGCAAACTCTCATTCAGTCTGGCTGCATTCTGGCCTACTTTTCACGATCCTATCGATTCCCGTGCTACGATCCTGTTTCACTGAGAAATACATTATGGACGTAAAATGAGTTGTGAACAACAATTAACCTTTACTTTAAAAGGCTTAGATTACGGCCCTCTAAATGGCTTCAGTGTACTTTTTATTAGTAGCTTTTAGTGTAGCTATAAACCTTTGCTAAAGTGTAGCTTGCCTGTAGTCATGATTGTTTTGACAACCTACAATTTCAAAGGAGCTTCCCCAGCAGGGTCTCAGAATATACTGTAGGTTTTTCAAGATTTATTATCAGACAAACAAGATGCACAAGTGAGCCTGCACTCACGTGGACTCATTTACTCAATCACAATCCTCTCTGGAAATCACAGCATGCTTTACAGCTATATAAAACGGCATTGTAACAAATACAGGCATTAAACAAATCACTCCTCATAGGAGGAGAGGCCTCAGACGACTGTTTACACACCATGAAAGTCCCTATAGAGCTGTGAACCGCTTATTACTGCCAAACTTTGCTCTGACTAATTAAAGCCCTGCTTCAACACAGAAGAAGATCTCAGCGGCCAGCTTATTGCAATAATCACCATCTCCTTCAGTCAAGCAAATAAATGCTGATCTGCAAAGCAGGAACATCAAACACTCCTTCTCAATCACACACGCAAAAATAGAAAGATATTTTGGGGGATAAAAACTCATCACCTGCTTGGTGCTCCAGTAATTTGGCAGGAATAATTAGAGGTGTTTGTTTGCAAAGGGAAGCATACTCTATGTATGATTAGAGATTTGAACAAACCCCGAAGTGTTAAACTGATCTCATACGGCAATATATACATAATGCAGTTAAGTGCTAATGGAAGAGTTTTTGTTTGCTTGCTTGTTTTGTTTGACTGTTTTTGGTCAGGGATTTGCCAGTTGTGGTCAGAATTATTAGCCCCCCTTGGTACAGTAAATATGAGCAAAGATGGCTGTAAAAATAAATCTGCATTGTTTATCCTTTTGATCTTTCATTCAAAAAAAAAAAAAACGCAAAAATCTCCACCATTAAAATAAAATAAAAAACTGAAATTGGGGGAAAAATAAAATTTTTCTCCAATACACATTGGCCACAATTATAAGCACCCTGAAATTCTTATGAATAATATGTCTCTGAAGTATATTCATTCATATTTACATTTTTTAGCACACCAGTGTGACTAACATGAAATTGTCCAGCCATGACTTCCTGTTTTACATGAATATAAATATGAGGGAACACAAAGCCCAAATTCCCTTGATCGTCCAACAAAATAATTAAAACCAAAGAATATAGTTATGATGTGCCGCAAAAGATTGTTGAGCTTCACAAAATAGAAAGTGGCTGTAAGAGTAGTAGTATAATTCTATTTAATGCCATGTCAGCATCTGGGGCTATTTTCATGGCAAAAACTCAATTACAAAAATGCAAATATCACAAATACAATAAAAACCAAAAACAAACACAGCAAGTGATATTATACAAGATTTTTTAAAATTAACATATGATAAAAATTCTAAAACCTTTTCAGGCAAAACCTTTCTAAACAAGACCTTCATAACTTCATAAAAGAGCTTTCTACTTGCATTAAAACCGGGACAGTCCAAAAGAATATGTTTAATAGAAAGGGGGGGGTCTTGCAGAACATGCATAAAGTTGGGTCTTCACCTTTAAGCAAAAATGCATGAGTCAGTCTTGTATGACCTATATGACATCTGGTGTAGACCAAATGATCAAATCTGGTTTTAGGTGAGATTAAAAATCTGTTTGAGATTTCCGGATGGATTTCATGTAATATATTATTTGTGCACGTATCCCACTCTTCTAGCCACTTATTGATTATATACTGGCTGTAAGAAAATAGCTAAAGCATTGAAAGTTCCCGTTTCCACCATCATGGCAATTGGAGGGACCCAAGCCATATACAGAGAGCAGAATATCACAGAGAAATCTTGATGGGCTCTGTTGACTTGGCCCAGCAAGCAACCACCCAAAACACACTAGCAACCATCTAGCAATGCACTAAAACACTCAGAGAACCGTTGTAACTGTGTAGAAACATGCTTAAAATACTCAGAACAACCTATAAACTGTATAGCAATGTACTAAAAACAATTCAGATCACCTCAGCAACCACATATGAATGCTCTGGCAACCATCCACAACCTCAGGGTTAAATAAAATATGACAAATTAAAAATCGTACTTGTTAATGTGCGTCTCTATCTCCTGAACCTTAGGGCCCCAGAGGGGCGATCGGGGTCCCGTACTGTCAGGAGATGCAGGAGGTCCTTCCATCAGCCACTGGTCTCTGAGGGACTTCCTCTGTGAGAGAAACAGGGACAGGAGGAAGAGGTAATTAATGCGACACATTTAAATAGATTTCTTATCAGCAGTTCACACTAACAGCCAAACAAAGGCATTACAGCACACTGGTTTCTGGAGCTTAAAGGCCTATTCACACCAAAAGTTAATATTTGCCATAAAAACACACAAGACTGTGTATTTGACATTTGTACCTCTAAAATAGCAATGTCCCTACTACCCACCACTTTTTTTTTTGCAAAAGTTGCAGGTTGTTTGATATGTTCTACTTCAACATCCTGTTTCAGCAGGAGACAATACAAAGAAAAGAGAAAAGTGTTCGTCTAACCATTTCATGGGGTCTTTAAATTAAGAAAAATCTGAAGAAAATGCAATTGAGAATCTCTACAATTTAGAGAATGCCAAAAGGTAAAATTCGAAAATGAAATGTCCTGCTGAGCGTAATGTACTTTCACTCCTCTGCTAATTCCACCTCCAACAGCAAAAACAAGTAACAGCACATTTCTATATCAGGACCATCTAGAGTGTATTTCACTAATAAGAAAACACGGCTGTGTCTATTCTGACATGTAACTCCATAACGTGCACAAAAGTGCAGCCACCAGCTGCCACACAGGAAGTGATGTGCACCATGGAAACTGAAAATATATGAGAAGTAAGATAACACAAGACAGCAGTGGCTGTGAGATTAAACTTTATCTGCTTGCATGATTTCATTATGATTATGAACCCCAAATACAAACCCTACAGACACATTTTATGTCACTTATCATAAGGGTGTTTCTTGTCCAATGGCCACTTTTATGTCCCAGTGGTTGGTTTTTAATAATACTGATTTCAAATTCATTGTGATCACATTTAAACTTAGAAACTTGTCGCAATTCCTTAATTTAGTTTTTCTACTATTCCATTGCCTTTTATGTAAATATTTTATAGATATCCCTGACCCAGACTTTCAATCTTTAATATTTTAAAAGCTATGATAAACAGTGAAATAATCATAAGCCATACTGTTAGGCAATATATTATCTGAAAATTAATTTGTAAACAAATTTCATGTCTAAAAATTTTGACAGATGTTTCATAAGAAGTTAGTGGACGCATTTGACACAACAGTATATGGAAGCCCATTTCTGCCACATAAGATTATGATTATGATTAAGTATTGACATAAAAAGTTAAAATAGTTACAAGTCATAATGACAAAAAAATATGACTTAAAAAAAAATACTTTATATTACATAATTATGTTTTTTTTCTCATTTTGACTTGTCATAATTTCAACTTACCATCATCAATTTTGACCTTTTTGTCATAGACTTAATTTTAACTTTTAATATCATCATTGTGACTTAATATTTTATTTAAATTTTATCTCATAATTATTGTTTGCAAAAACATGATTTTTTTTATCTCATGTGGTGGAAAAGAGCTTTCATAACAGTAAGTGAAAATCATGAAATAAAATTTGAGCTGTCAGAAAATAAAGAGAAGTCAACATAAATAAAGCTGTCATTTTTTTCAAATGATGTAAAAAGCGTGAAAATATTACTTATATATTATTTATAAATATTATATTTTAATTTCATTATACAAATATTTATGAATGATTTAATTTGAGATGTGGTGGAAATTATTTTAATTCTTCAGAAAAATGGCTAATGCTGTCAGGCATGCATTACACTATGCTGCGATGATTTATATACACAGTTGAATATTATTAGTGGATGTGAAATAACTAGTAGTGTGAGTGTGAAAAGCTTGTCTTAGGATAAGACAAGCTTATCCTAAGCTGTTCCTACTCTGTTGGTTCCAAGACAAATTTTTCATACACTGTGTGTCTGTGTGTGTACATTTATGGGTGTTTCACAACTATGGGCCCTTTTGTCCCCCC